TCTCCAGGGGAGCGTGCGGGGAGACCCCCGTCCCAGGACAGGCGGAGTCAGCAGACTCTCCGTGCTGGGGAGAAGGCCTGGGCGCATGTCCCGAGTAGGGGAGACTACTCTCAGGGCTCTCCCTGTCACCACCAGCCAGTCCCCAAATTGGAAAAAACATCTAAGTGCCAGCAGTGTGGGAAAAGCTTTAGCCGAGGTTCTTACCTCATTCAGCAACAGAGAATCCACACAGGAGAGAAGCCTCACAAGTGCAGTGAATGTGGGAAAGGCTTCAGTGAGCGCTCCAACCTCATTGCCCACCTAAGGACGCACACGGGGGAGAGACCCTACCGCTGTGGGGAATGTGGGAAAAGCTTCAACCAGAGCTCCAGCCTCATTGTCCACCAGAGGACCCACACCGGCGAGAAGCCTTATGAGTACGCTGTCTGTGGGAAGAGATTCAACAACAGCTCCCAGTTCAGCGCTCACCGGCGAGCCCACACCGGGCAGAGCCCCCCCTCCGCCCCACGCGCACTGTGGGAAAAGCTTCAACAACGGCACCCACGGCCATGCCCACCAGAAGACACACACCAGGGAGAAGCCGTACAAGTGCCCTCGGAGTGAGAAAAGCTTCCCCAAGAATCCCGTCCTCATCCACCATCAGGGGGCACACAGAAGACACACTCACACCCAAGAAGGGACACATGCTGCGATGGTGTAGGAAAGCCAACAGATCAATTCCCTAGTTTGAGTCTCTCCTGGAGCTTCCATTGGCTTGTGGAGGCTTCTGCCAGCCAGTCCGTGGCTCAGCAGGAGACCTACAAGTGGATCTCAAGAACCACAGCGGGACTAGGAATCAGCATTAGAGTGCTGAGCTCTCTTTCTAGGTCTGCCTGTGACCCCCAGTCCTGTGTCACTGTGGACTTCCATCTGCTTTGAACACAGGATCCAAAGTCCTGCCAGGAAACTAGGGTAAACTTGTTCTGAAAAGAGAATGGGTGGCTAGTGGCCTGGGAACTGTTCCTGGGGCAGGTCAGAGAAGAAATTTTCCGGGCTCATGGGAAGCACATCTAGAAGTGAATGGCCTCGACGTATCCTAAACCAATAATGACCTCTAGGCACCTGCTCTCTGGTACATCGACCTCAGAGTAGGTCACTGCTCTATACTCCAGTCACCCAGAAAAGACAGCAAAGCAGGAGGGACAGCTTAAGCCACAGGGTACCACTACTCTAAGTGACTTAATCTCAGAGCAAGTGTGACATCTGGGTTCCTCT